CCTACGGTTACCTGAGGCTAGCCTCCCTTTTGTCACTTATTGGTACTAATGCTTTTTTGTTCTTTGTGTACATGTATATTTAAGCTGTGATTTTTGTAATACCTGGGTGTGTGATTTTTGGCAAGAGATTTCTTTGAACTGAGTCTGATCTGTTACAGAGATATAATTTATGATTACATTTTTGTCAAGCATGATATGTTGGATTAGTATTAATTAGCTTATTGGCTTCTATTTTAATAAATATAATTAGAGATATTTCACCAATAGAATGCTTATCAATGATGATATGTTCCTTGTTAGTAGATACAATGTCTCACTGGCTCCGTCACATTGCAGAGGGAGAGCCTTGTGATACTTACCTTAAACTATCATCAGGTGATCTGGCTAGAACCTCTGAGATGATAGAGACACAGCGGAGTACCTTTGACAGGGATGATGCTCTCTGTGTCCAGAACCTTCAATCTATTGCTGACTACACATGTATATTCACTCAGCAGTGGTAAGCACTCTCTCTCTCTTACTCTCTCTCCTCTTGTTACATTTAGTGGTAAACCAAACGTTTATTATTAATTTGTTATTAATAGGATTTATTGACAAGAGTAGAGGAAGCTGTTGAGAGGTTCTTGTATTGGGTCAAAGAAGTAATGATATATGAAGCAGTTACTTCAGTAAGCACATGTTCACCTCATCTAAGTATATGTACATGTACCTTGTGTATAACTGATAAATAATTAGTCAGATATTAATAATAGAATAATGCATAAATACTGTTATAGCATTATCTAAACATTAAGTGTTAATTATTAATTAATATTTATATTATTATACAGAGTCCCAGTAGTCATGATGTCCCAGTCACTGGTGGAGTAGCATATGAAGTGTTTGATGACAATGGAGTGAGTAGTATCAATGGTAGCAGTACCAGAGGAGGAGGGAATACTAGCAGCTGTCAAGAGATGAGTCAACACCAGATACTACTAAGGCTCATGGTGGTAATTGCTTGTCACCCTCAAGGAGGAACATTGGTCTTGATGATTCTGTTAGTGAGAAGTGGGCTCAAGCTAGCAGCCACTGCTCAGATGCCAAAGAATATCTTGAGATGATTTGTAGAGATTTATCCGATGAACTGGCACAATTTGATCTAAGGAAGGAACAAAAATTGAGACAAGTTTTCGTTGATCTTGCTGCTGGACAAATAGAGTAAAATGATAAAGTGAATTTTTTATATTAAGAACTGTACGCGATCCTCCATAGTGAATTTTCATGTAAATACAGTTTGTCTCTATTTAGCACAACAACAACAACAGGAGGAGGAGGAGGAGGAGGAGGTGACAACAAGTGAAGGTAAGGGAGAGAGAGATTAATGGATCCTGAGAAGAGAGAGATTAATGGATCCTGAGAAGAGAGAGAGAGAGGATGAGATAGTCAAGAGGACATAATGTATTTATCTTCTTTTGTTTTAGATTGTTCCTCCTTCAAGAAATGATTTGTGGAAAACTATTATTTGCTTATAATAATTTCCTTTTAATATTTTTAATGTCAAAATTGTATTGCTTCAT